CCACCCCCAACTCCAGACCTTCAATCGTTTTTATGCTTTTAGGAAACGTTTCCAAATTCCTCCTTAGGCTATCTCTATAAACATCTCAGGAGGTCGCTTTTGGATCCCTAAAAGTAACAATTTCATAAGTTGCTGAAGCTCTAATCACAAACTCAATGTGTCTGTGATCAGACATCGAATTTTCACTACTAACATGTCAGTCAGTAGTCATCCGATTCTGAGTTATGTTTAAAATTTCAAGTCACTAGCTCAGCGGAAAGTTAGTTTGAAGTCAATTACTAAATTCGACCTGAGCAGACGCAAGCGCAAGCAATCGCAAGAGACGCAAGGGAATCAATAGTAATAAGTATAAAATTAAAAAAATTTTGTACAGCCGACTTCAATATAAATTATTAAGAATAACTCAAAAACTATTAGTCTGACCTTGATCAAATTCATATGGGACCACATTTGAAGTACCAGCTTTCAAATAAAAAATAATAATCGAAATGGGTTCACCCAGTAAAAAGTTATAAGGTAATACACATTAAAAAACATACAGTCGAATTGAGTACAGTCTCCTTTTAGAAGTCGGCAGAAAATGTGGTAAATATGAAAATATTTGTTGTTATTATTATCACTAAATTATTTACGTTACCTACCGAATAAATATCTCAACAAAAAATATACTTTTGCTTCTCGCTGATAAGCAAAGCGGCGGTAACATAGATAACTCAGCAATTTAAATCGCACCTACATCTAACTACATCAGCATATTTATAACTAACTGTTGCTATGTGAGTACACGCCACTTGTCTAGAATTTTCTGTTCATGAAAAAAATAGACAGGAAAATATCGCTTACCGCTGTTTAATTCTTGAGAACAACAACTCATTATTTTATTTTTATAGAATATGGGTGACAAACGGCAACACAGTCTACCTGATAGTAAGTGGATGCTGTGTTCCATAGGCATCTACGTTTATCCTCGTTAAGAATCAAAATGCAGATACGTTGTCACTCCTGAGGACTAAGTTGGAATGCATCTTTTTCAGTAAAGGTCCTCTACACTCACCATACGAATCACAGCTGCATTAAGCTGCTACTTAATCTTTAAGTGCTTATCTCAAATTTTCTGGGATTTTTTTTAAAGCGTACATATCGCCCGCCTCAAGAATGAATTACTGACTTTAGTCGAGTAGAAGTTTATAAAAATGAGATATTTAGAAATCTTATGGCGATGAACTTGTAGTCCCGCGATGCTACTTGCACGCTTGCACGTAAATAAGAATTAAAAAAAAGCGTGTCAAAGATCAAAGATCATAGAAAAATAGTTGGCGCGGTAAGACGTTGGGAGAGCATTGCAAAAGCGCGTATGTGCAGGTCGTTGACCCGGGGAGCGGGTCGGGCAGCCGGCCCGGTCACGGCCTCGCTCGCTTCTCATTTCCAACACTCGCTCACTAACTTGCACTTTTACTGTTGCTTACTGAAAAATCACTTGAAAATTACATTTCTTTATATTTTTTTTTATAGAATAAGAGTGATAAACGAGCACAACAGTCCATCTGACAGTAATAGAATAGAATATAATCATTTTTATTTAATATAGATTATAAAAATACTTATAGAAAATAATTTAAGTTTCACCACTGGTTCGGAAAAATACCTGTCCTGGGAAGAACCAGCAAGAAACTCAGTGGAACTTTTTTTAAATATTAATTTATATTATAATATTTTATACAATTTAATATGAACGCATTTAGAAACAGCATGGTAGCGATCACCTCATTCCCAGGGGCTATTATCAATCATGTACTCCTTAGCACTATAATAACCTAAGCTTTATTACGTGGCAGAGCCATGCTGCAGCTATATTATTAGTATAGTTGTAGCACGAATGGGTCGGCTCGACCGGGGAAAGATCACACTCTCACAGCGTATCAGCGTAAAACAGCAGCTTAACGGTGCTGTGTTTCGTATGGTGAGTGTAGATAACCGGAGACCCTTTTTACTGGAAAAGAGGCATTCCATCTTAAACCTCGCGGGTGACAACTCATTTGCATTTTGATTCTTTATTAGATGTCTATGGGCCACAGCAACTACTTACCATCAGGTGGACTGTGTGCTCGTTTGTCACCCTATCCTATAGAAAAAAAGTCTTATTAAACAATTTTTGCTTCATAAAAATTTTAATCTTTTTGATAGACAGGTCCTGTAACTGGATACTGCGGCCCACAGCTATCCTCGATTATGAATCAAAATGCGGATGCGTTGTAAGCTGATATTTTACTTTGGTATTCTGTGAAAGCGTGTTCCTACTCCGTTCGAGCCGACCCATTCGTACTACAATCGTATAAAGATGCAGCGTGGCTCTACCAAGTATGATTATTGATGTTTTCGACAGGAATACCTCAGTACATTATGAAACATCTCTGATAGAGTTGAGAAAATCTCTAGGTATATGATATCCTTTTGAAAAAAAAAACTTGTGTAATTTAATATCTTAAACATGATGTGCGTAACGTGTGCGGTCTAAAATATTAAGGCCTAAGGGTACTTGGCAGATTTTAACAAATCATTTTTTGTTTCACTTTTATGCTATAAGGAAAACTGTTAGCCAATTATTAATTCTGTAATTTCTCTGTTATAATTATTTTCACAATTGTATTCTAATATGCCATTACTATAATTCACATAGCGAGTTATGGAGAGAGCTTTTCTTCGAGTTTCTCTGTGTGATAGATTTCTTAACGATGATATCAGCATCATAACCAGAGTAATCGGCACAGCCCAACTGATCAGTAAGAGCGTCATGGGCTGGTCACTTACCTCAACGAAACGACTACCGATGGGGCCAGGTTCTATAGCGGCAACTTCATACTTCGTTCGTATCGTTCCGTTTACAGTTTAGGACTGTCCCTCCCCCTACTAGATGTAGTGACGACCTGGTGAGAATTTGGTTTAGCGACATTACTTTGCCTATAACTAGTTTTGGGCTGTAATAATGATTCCCCACTTGGTCTAGTGGTCGTAACCGCAGTTGCTGATCATGCCGAGCCCGGGTCAGGCTCAAAGCTCAGTTATTGGGGGTTTCTATCACTAAATTCTCATTAGCAACCCGGATTCAGAAAGTAGGCAGTGTTTCACCCCCATGCCTCGGAAAGTATGTAAAGCTGTTGTTCCTGCGCCCGATATCTCTTCGATCGTGTCGGATTACTGTTTGTTTTTTTTGTAGGTATAAGGTTGCAAACGAGTATAAATTTCACCTAATGGTAAGTGAATGCTGTGGCGCATAGACATCTACATTCATCCTCGATAAGTATCAAAATGCAGATGCGTTGTCACCCCTGAGGACTTAGAAGGAATACCCCGGTTACAGTAAAAAGGGTCTCCGGTTAGAGAACCGGAGGACCGGAGGACACTCACCGTACGAAAGCTTGGTCCTACCCCGGTTGAGCCGACCCATTCGTGCTACAACCATAACGTAGCTGCAGTTTGGGCCTACCACATAAACCATCCCATCGGACTAAGCACTCTCTATTCACTCACTTTCACTAACTACCATGCTTGCTCATACCATGTCTTGCGCAGATGACTAGTGTAGAGACTGGCCACCGTGACCGAAATCCGATCTAAAGGACATTGTTATAATTAGATTATGATAATTATAATTATTAGAGAGCGATTCACTGTTAGCACGATATTGCATCTATAATCTATGTATGTAGGTGTGTGTGTATGACATTTGAATGTTAATAAAAGAACAACCATTGCGAAAATTCCCACTCATCCAGTGAATGTAAAGAAAACATTATGTGTTAATTTCTGCAAGTTTCAATTGCGAGAAAGAAAATAATTAACCGGGATTAACGGTTTCGATTTAGAGCCGTCTCAATGCGCTTTTTATAGCCCTCTAAAAACAGAACGTTGCAATTTCCAAGATAATGCCGTACTTGATTGCACTTTGCATTAAACTGAGGCTAAAGTTAATGTCTAATGTTTTTTTTTAATTATATAGTGAGAGTGACAAACGAGCACACAGTCCACCTGATGGATGCTTTAGACATCTGCATCTGAAATCAAAATATCGAATTCGTTGTTACCCCTGAGGACTTAGATGGAATGCCTCGTTTCCAATAAAAAGACTCTCCCTACACTCGCCATATGAAACACAGCAGCGTTTAGCTGCTATGTCATGCTAGTATTCGGTGAAAGCGTGGTTCACTCTGGTCTAACCGACCCATTAGTGCTACAACTATAATATGACTACAGCTGAGTTCCTCCACGTATAGGAAATAGTGTAATCAGATTACTTTAAGGATTTGTTGTAAATTCTGCTTAATCTAATAACAACACCATATCATCATCATTACAGTCCATCATAAGTCCACTGCTAAACATGGGTCTGCCCCACGGAATGCCACAAATCGCGGTCCCGAGCCACCTGCATCCATCGGTTTCCTGTATCTCTTACCAGGTCGTCCCTCTAATCATTAGGGACCGCCTACACTTCGCTTACCGGCACGAGGCTGTTACTCGAGAACCTCTTTTCTCCATTGGTTGTCGGTTCTTCGAGCTATATTGCACTAGTAATGCTGACCCCCAACACCAGTCTACATATTGTCGATTATGGGTACGCTATTTAGGAACCCAGTTCGATCTTCGCTGGCACTTGGCTAATTGTTAAGTGCCAAATTAAGTGTTATTTACCACTCGTCTTGTGGCACTATTTCCGTTCGACCATGAAAAAAAGATCTTAGGGACACCAATACGTAAAAGCATCTCTGAGAAATAAAAAAATATTTTGATGAAATGTGAAATCCGCCAACTCCCATTGGGGTAGCGGACTTTTCCCTGCTCCAGCGGTTTTTTTTATAGGATAAGATGACAAACGAGCGCAGTCTACCTGATGGTAAGTGGTTACTGCGGCCAATGGACTCCGGTTTTTTATGAGAGGAGGCTTATGTGTCCAGTGCATTTTGTTTTAATATGAAATTAATGAGTGCTGTTCTTGTTTCCAGGTGACTTCTGCGCTGACGTCATTATGAAGTGGAACGATGTCACCGATATCAGTGAGTTCTTTTTTCCTTATTTCCTTCTAATACGCTACCTGCACACTAGGATTTTCTTCTGTATCGTTGGGGCTGTTTACATACATACATTTCACAAGGCAAACATCCAGACCCGGAACAATTATTTGAAGACCATACAAATACTTGTTCCATGCGTGATTGGAACCCGCGTTCTCGGCGCTGCAACTATTTGCATCGCCACTGCGCCCTGTAGCTTTCAAAGTATTCGCATTTAACTACGAGTACATATTATACGTCTCGGTTTTGACGACCGCACGGTTCCTGGAGTCGACTTCATTTGCATAGTATTATAGTGTGTGAAATTGAGAATATAAAAGAGATAGAGAATTAGAAATTGAGAAGCTATTGTCGCATATGTGCCCTTTGGATTCTTCTTTCTCTACTTTAAATCCTGGCGGGGTCGCCATGTAATGTAGGTGTTAAATGTGAAGCCGTGTTTGCTATTACTAAACTTTAATTAGGCTAATCTTTTACTCTACAAATAACATCCATTTAATATATTACGTGGTGTGGGCTACACTACATTTTTATAAACAACATAGCATGTTATACGTTATACGTTATAACACGAATAGGTCGGCTCGACCGAGGAAGTACCGCACTCTCACAAAATACCAGCGTAAAATAGCAGCTTAATGCTGCTTAGTTTTGTATGCTGAGTGTAAAGAACTGGAGACCCTTTGTACTGGATATGAAGCATTCCATCTTATTCCTCAGGGGTGACAACGCATCTGCATTATGATTCTTAATCAAGTATAGATGTGGGATGTCTATGGACCGCAGTATCCACTTACCGTCAAAACATTGTTACAAACAAGTTACGTTATTATTGCAGTGTGTGTTCAATTCAAATTGGATAGAAGAGCGTCATACGCGATATTTGAGACGATGTAGAGTTAGTGGAGGCAAATTTTGGCAGGGAGCCGGCCGGCCGGCCTCAGTTTACTATAATGCGAGTAGTATGAGTACGTCGGTTTAGCGTATAGCTGCGTTGTAAGGCATGTCACGTACGCACTCCGCTGGATACGAGCGTGGGACGCGGGTGGGTGTCTCCACACCATCCACACGGCTATTCATTAAGTTCTGTTGTAAATATTTGTTTTAGCAAACACTAATAAAATGTTATAGTTGTTAAAAATTAATTAGCCAAGATCTGCGTAGTAAGATAAAATGATGTGTCTCACCTAGTTTGAAGAACACCTTCCACTCTTATTCATTTGCGTGCACTATCCCCGTCACCACTAATCTCAACACCGTTACACTATAATATGACACGTGATTCGCCTCTAAACGAGGCATCTTCAGGTGTAGTAGACTGCGGTGGCTGACTGCAAAGACAGTTTCGTAGCGTAGTGGTGCTGGGATTAGTGGTGACGGGGATAGTGCTCGCAATTGAAGGAGGGCGGGAGATGCTTTTCAAACTAGATAGGGCACAGCATTTAATTATATGTATTACTCGGATCTTAGCTAATAATTTTTTAACATCTTTAATTTAATTCATTTCCGCAAAGTAGCGTCTGATTCTGTTAATTAATTTAGAAATGATCTGGGAGAGGCCATCGCGTTGGATTGTGCTCGGATTAAATTGCCCTTTGGCATGGATGAGACGAGATTATTTGGCTCAGCTCTCAGGAAGAGTACGTGTATTTTTACGCGGCACCCAACTCGGTGCCATTCAAACGGAAATAATGCCGGCGGGGGCGAAGCGCCGCGTCGCTCGGATGCTCCTCTGATAGATTGCATCCAAACGTGCCGAGACGCGCTGTTTCGATGGTCGCTTGATTTGTTTATCTATAATATGTTAAATGAATTTTTATTTAGAGTGAACATTGTCCTTTACCATTACAGCCTATCCAAACTGACTGCCCCGTTGGTGTAGTGGTCGCAAACGCGATTGCTGTTCATGAGGTCCCCGGTTCGAATTCCGGGTCGTGCCAGAAATCAGTTACTGGGTTTTTTGGCAATAATTCTCAGTAGCAGCCCGGAGTCAGTGTAATTACCGTCTCATCGGACTATGAGGGCGAAGAAATAGAAAGTGAAACTGAGCTTACGCACACACTCGTGCAGAATATTGATCCTGTACTTCTGTATAGAGTTTTTGGGCGGCTAGTCTTCGCTCTCCATTGATCTGGATTCATCTGGAGCAGAATAGTAATAGTTAATAGGGTAGTACCGTTACCGTTACAACCTATTAAAGTTCACTGCTGATGCTGAACATAGAGCTCCCCCAATCCCCCATAGATTGCCTCATGGGGGATATTTGCCATAGTTGCCACGCTTCAAAAGGGAGTTGGCAACTGCAGTTTTTTAAGTCGTTATTAGGAAGACGCTGCTACACATCTCCTGATTTGTTTCCCTCTATCGCCTCTTACGACACCCACTGGATGATATGAGGTATGGCATGATCGCGGAGCAGGAAGAAAAAAGCCACTAATACTGTTCAAAAAGTCCTAAAACTATTTTAGTTCCAATAGAAATAAAACTTTTCATTATGGGAATTAAGTTCAAAAATGCAAAACAATAAAAAAATTCCTGCTCCGCGACCGTGCTTTAGTGGATATTCTTACACCGCCACTACACGGTAATACACGTTAGTACAGAGACATATTATAATGTTCTTCAAAATTGTCGATTTAGTTAATTAATTTCACCGTATAAAATTCTGATCACAAATCTATCATGTTTACCTACTTTGTTTCATAAAGTTAACTGCATGTTATCGACAACTGTCAAAATATTTACAACATCAGCGTCTATTTAAAACAACACCTCACTTTTATTACGCGGACTTGATTGGAAACAAAATATTCCACTAAAAGTTTCAAATAATTAATTTATTTAATTAGCTTTAAAATTTATTAGCTGTGTAATTTAATAACGATCAAAAAATTTAAAAAAAAACATACGCCAGTGTTGTGGAACACTCGGTTGGAACGAAGTTCCTTTCGTGGTATATTATTATTGATAAACGTATTATATTATTGATTAAATAATTTAAAATTAAAAATGTTGTACAGACGACTTCAATATAAGTTATTAAGAATAACTCAAAACCTATTGGTCTGAGACCTTGATCAAATTCATGTAGGACCTCACGAGAAGTACCAACTTTCAAATAAAAGAACCATCGAAATCGGTTCACCCAGTAAAAAGTTATGCGGTAAACCACATAAAAAAACATACAGTCGAATTGAGTACCGTCTCCTTTTTGGAAGTCGGCAGAAAATACAAATAAATGAATTACTAGCATCTATTAAAATGAAGCGTCATTTAAAATAATATTTATTTCATGGCAAGATAAGAAAAAGTGCGAGGGAGATGGATATTATTCCATTTCGCTCGCACTGTAAAAAGGGGGTCGTGACGGAAAAGTTTTACACTCTTTCTAGCCTAGTCTCCCTCCGTCAAATTCGTACCGTGCGATAAGGAACTTCGATCCAAAACTACGGTTGCCGACCGGCCTGCTGAGCGTGGCAACTATTGCAAATATCCCCCCCTATGGAAAAATCTATAGGGGAGGCCTATAGTTCAGCAGTTATATACTTTTGATAGCCTTTAACGGTGAAATATCTCAAATATAGTAATACCTATGCTGATATATCTTTGTTCTGAGTAAGAAAAATATTTGACTTATAATTTTAAACAAGTCATTTGGTTTTGCTAGAACGATTTTGCAAAAAGTTATTGGTGCATATCCATTTATGTAGTATAAAAAAGAACAGTAAGAAGTTTAATTTCAAGCTTGCATTAAATATAATCACGTCAAACGTATTTTATTGACTTAAAAACTCTACAAATTATGAATTCCATATCAAAGAAATAAATAAATATCTTTTAAATCGATTGAAGAACGTTCTACATTCATACAACTATAATTTATGGAACTGTTCATTGAAGTAATATTATAGTACTTAATAGAAGAGACGCCGTGACTGGGTCGTTTGCAACACGCGTTAGAGAGCCCACGGGCTCAAACTTATATTCTGTGACATAAAAATGTACTCTGTGGCTCCGAGCACGCGCCCCGCACTGCCGCTCTGATTTTATTAGCGGTGTCTGTTCTAGTACGTATAAACATATTACTTCAATGGAACTACCTACCTACCTAGTACTGAGCTTGGCATCCGTTCAGATCTCAACTCTTATCCATTGAACTATTATGTACTGTACGTTATGTTATGTCACTGCTCTTATCAGCGTTTTACGTTTTTGTTTTTGGTTGTGGTTTTGGACAGACAAGTTTTCAATACATAGGACAATTCAGAGGATGGTTTAATCATAAAACCGCTTATAGCATTATGATGTAAAAAATGTGGTTAAACTTATTATTTCATATTAGATTAACAGAATACAAAAAGTTGTTAAACAATGGTAAGAGTTCTTCCGGGTCGTTAGTGTCAATAGACGTTTCTCAGGGTTTCATTCTCGGTCCCTTCCTGTTTCTTATCTACGTTAATAACTTACCCTACCCAGTAGCTGGAAAGCTAAAAAACATAGAATGAAACTAATTTTACGGGCTGTTCCCACTGTCCAGGGTAGGGTCAGGGCTGCTGAAACGTCTTCCGACCCATGAATGTTAAGAGTTAAAAAAAGTTAAAATTAAACGCGACAAAATCTGTAAAATCCGTTTAATTGAATGCGTTGTACGAGGGTGGATTGAAAAGTACTCGGCCTAACACAGATCCATTCAATTCTAAAAATCAAATCTAGCCACATTATTTAGTTCAGTTCAGTCTAGTTCATTGTGTGAAGTTCGAAACGTGTGCGATAATTAGTTGTGATTTTATAAATTTATTAACAAAGTAATCGGACATAATTTCCGCGAATGGAGCAAATCGAGCAGCGTGCCGTCATTAAGTACCTCCATAAGAAGGGGCTATCATCAAAAGCCATCCATGATGACATGGTCAGTACATTAGGCGATTGTGCTCTGTCATATTCATCCGTCAAAAAATGGGTAGCAGAATTTAAGCGTGGTA